ATTCTTTTTAGCTCGACTTTCCTGATGAACCTGGATGCGAGCCGAATGTACCACGTGATTCGAGGTCAAGACGCCATCAAGCTCTACGTCATTTACAATGTGCTTGAGGTGAGTTGCTGTACATTGAAGGCAATGTCGGATTGCTAACGGTAATCCAGGTTGGCGACCGTCTGCTGTCCGCCTTGGGCCAGGACATCTTTGAATGCTTGCTCAGCACCGAAGCGCTTTCACGCAACAAATCGGGGCGCTCCAAGCTGCTGCTCCCTTTCGGACTGTTCCTTCTCGCACTCGTCTACAACTGCATACATTCCGTTGCATTGTATTACCAGGTCATCACGCTCAACGTTGCAGTCAACTCGTACTCCAACGCTCTGTTGACCTTGCTCTTGTCAAACCAATTCGTCGAAGTCAAGAGCACCGTCTTCAAGCGTTTTGAAAAAGACAATCTTTTCCAGTTGACTTGCGCAGACATCACCGAAAGATTCCAACTCTGGCTCATGTTGTTCATCATTGGCATGCGCAACGTTGTGGAGGTCGGCGGTCTCTCCATCCCTGGAGCTGGTCTCAGCGGTGACTTAAAGGTGTCGAGTACCAAACCGCAGCACAGCCCCTTCATTCTACCCCATAGCTTCACCGTCTTGCCATCCTGGCTGTGGTCAGGGGAGGTCCTATCACCATTCCTCATCGTCATAGGAAGCGAGATTCTGGTTGATACCATCAAGCATGCGTATATCAACAAGTTCAACAAGATCAGACCAACCTTCTACAGTAGAATCCTCGACATTCTGTGCAAAGATTACTACACAAACGTATGTTCTCCCCTGGCCGCTTGCGTGTCATGACCTTTCGACTAACTGTGTTCAGGCATTTGTCAGGCCTAGTCTGACTCGGCGCGTTGGGCTTGCTACGCTGCCCTTGGCTTGCCTCTTTATCAGGGCGTCTGTTCAGACATATCACATGTTTGTCTCGACGCGAGTTGCAGCGCCCATCATCAGATCAACGCAGACGTCTCTCTCAGAGGAGTCGGCCACTCCGTCTTCGCCTGCCATGACGGCTGCGCTCGACCGACTGGACTCGCTTCTGCGGGACGCACTCGGTCGGGCAGTGTACGGGCAGCAAGCGAGTGGTTCATCGAACGGCAAGGCTTCCTGGTTCACCTGGTCAACCGACGATGTCATCGCTGCGGTGACCATGCTTGTCGTGTTTTTCATCGCATTTTTGGTTTTGCTTGTTTTCAAGATATTACTCAGCATGGTCCTTCTCCGCTACTCGAGGGATCGGTATGCGAGGATGAAGAAGAAGGAACATCTCATCGCTACGGCTCAGGCGGAGCCAGATTCATACGACGCAAAGGGAAAGCGGCTGGGTGGTTACGGCCATGTGGAGATCCCGGATGAAAAGAAGCGATGGATCCATGCCGATAAGGACGAGGGCCTCGCTGGCAAGGGGCGGCCATCGAAATCCGACAAACCACCCGAGGGTGAATATCACGGCGTTCAGCGGTATGAAATGGTTACGAAACGCATTTGGTAGGCGTTCGGGTAGTACATGCATCATTCAATCAAGCGAGTTTTGTTTGGCAGAGAAAGGCTCTGGGCTGTGGTTGTTGTGACGACTATTTGTCCTTGTGCTGCTTGGGTATGATCCGCGCTCCAAGCTGAAACGCTGATCTCCAAGTTACCTAAAATGTCAAGGCAAGAAGAGAGACGAGGAGCATGAGTGTTTTCAGGAGCGCAAAACAAAAAGAAAGAGTTTCATTATTCAACGATACATAACCAACTTGTCCCTATGGTTATGCCATCTCTTCGAGTGCTTCATGCTCAGCGGGATTGGCTATAAATCAGCTCCGCAAGGACTTCGGTAGACAGTCTACTCCTCGTCAAAGCATTTTTTTCAGAACATCACACACAGCATCTCCCACTTGACTGCATGTCGACTTTCCACCCAGGTCGCCCGTCCTGACCTCGAGGCCGCCAGCTTCCTTCGCATCCAGGACTTTCACCACAGCCTTCTCAATGGCCGACGCCTCGGCCTCAAGCAGGAACGAGTACCGCAGCATCATGGCCAGACTGAGGATCTGTGCCACAGGATTCGCCAGTCCCTTGCCCGAGATGTCGGGGGCGCTGCCGTGAACGGGCTCGTAGATGCCGTTGCATCGGCCCTCGCCCGGCACGCCCGAAATGCTCGCGCTCGGCAGCACGCCCAGCGTGCCTGTGATGCCGCCCGAGATGTCGGAGAGGACGTCGCCAAAGGTGTTGTCTGTGTGAATGACGCCGTTGAAGCGACGCGGGTCGCGCACCATCAGCATGGCCATGCTGTCGGCCAGCTGGTGCTGCAGCGCAACGTCGGGGAACTCGCGCGCAAAAATGTCGGACGTGACGCGGCGCCAGAGACGGCCGCTGGCGAGCACGTTGGCCTTGTCGGCGCTCCAGACCGTGGCCGGCTTCTGCCCGCCGTCGCCGAGGATGCGGGCCACGGCGGCGCTCACGCGGGCGAGGCGCTCGATCTCGGGGCGCGAATAGACCCAGAGATCCGAGGCCATGTCGGCTTCCTCGCGCTTCTCGCCAAAGTAGGCACCGCCGCAGTTCTCGCGGACCACGATAAACTTTGTGCCCGTCACGAGCTCGGGCTTGATGGGGGAGTTGCCCACGAGGGACGGCACCAGGATCTCGCAGGGACGGAGATTGGCGAATGCGTCGAGGTGCTGCCTGAGCTGCAGGAGGCCGGATTCTGGCGTCGGCGTGGCGGCGGCCCACTCGGGGCCGCCGATGCTTCCAAAGAGGACTGCATCCGAGGCCTTGGCGGCGTCCAGGACCGACTGTGTTACGGGCACGCCGTGCTTGTCAATGCTGGCGCCGCCGACGATGTCTGTGGTGCGCTCGAATCGAATGTTCGGCCGGGCGTCCTGAACAACGTCGAGGACTTTGAGAGCTTCGGCCATGATCTCAGGGCCGACATGGTCGCCAGGGAGGACCAGGATGCGAAACGTCTTTGTGTCAGACATGGCTAGGGTGGTAGGGTCGTGACGTTCGCTGGAAGTTGAGACAACGGTACAGCCGAGTCTGATGGATCCCAAGATGGCAGACTTGTAGCACTGCTTAGATTGTGAGATTGTGAGAGTCAAGTTTTAGTTCCCAAACATCAGACATTTTGCATTTCTGATAGAATCAGACGTCCTCGGTTGGCTTGTCCGATCTCGGGCTCACTAGACGCGATTTAAGCTGTTACTCAAGTCATGATGCCAATGCAAAGGATCCATGGCAGCCAGTCATGCCAGCGGGAATACCGCGACGTTAGCAGTAAGCATGATCCGATCTCGGTATAAATCGGGCTTCTGACAGTAGCCAAGTAGCTCGCAGCCGACTTGTGAGTTTGATACGACTCTGGACCCCTCCTGAGCTTGCTGAGGACCCGTTTGGTTGGGGTCTGTGGCACATCCCGTCACTATCGGAGTGTACCACCACATCGCCTGGCAGGGATGCCACCACTGACAACGAAACCAGTATCCACGGGGCTAGGACCCATTGAGGGATACGTTCTGGGGTAACTTGACATGCTTTCCTAGTTCGGTAGGTAATCTACCAGGACAGCCACGGGTCACAGGAAAGCGAAGGAGGGGTAGTTAGTTACCTATGAGACGACAACGAATGCCAAAAGCTGGGACATTGCCTGTTGAGATCTCGACGAGCATCCCACTTGCAGCCAGACACCGCCGTAACACATAACCCGTCGAATAACAGCTTGAAGTTGTTGCATTGCCTTGTCGCCCTCTTCCTTTTCACCGCTTACCGTCACGTCACCAGTCCACAAGGCACAATGTCCGGCCGCCTCCAGGGAAAGACCGCCATCGTGACGGGCGCAGCGTCTGGATTCGGCAAGGGCATTGCCACCAAGTTCGTCGCCGAAGGAGCCAACGTCATCATCGCCGACCTGTCAGAGGAGCAAGGTCAGGCCGTGGCCGAAGACCTCGGCGCCGTCTTTCAGCGCGCCGATGTCACAAAACCGGCCGATTGGGAGCAGCTCCTGAAGTTGGCCCTCGACAGATTCGGACAGCTCGACCTCGTCATTAACAACGCCGGCGCCACGTACGCGAACAAGCCGACAGAGGAGGTGACGGAGAAGGACTTTGATCTCGTCATGAATGTCAATGTCAAGGGCGTCTACCACTCGGCCAACGTGCTGTTGCCGTACTTTCTCGAGAACAAGCGGCCCGGCTGCTTCATCCAGGTTGCCTCTACGGCGGGCACGCGGCCCAGGCCACGCTTGACATGGTACAACGCGTCCAAGGCTGCCGTCATCAACGCGACCAAGACGATGGCTGTCGAGTACGGCCCGAACCAGATTCGGTTCAACTCCGTGTCGCCCGTTGTTGGCAGCACAGGCATGACACATTTGTTCATTGGCAAGCCTGATACCGAGGAGAACCGCAAGGGCTTCGTGTCGACGATCCCGCTGGGAAGGCCGTCGACACCAGAAGACATTGCCAACTCTTGCTGCTATCTGGCAAGCGATGAGGCGGCTTTCATCACGGGTGTCAATATTGAGGTACGTCTTCTGTCCTGTTGATAACGTGCTGGTGACGATGATGGCTAACTGTGCGTGCTAGGTTGACGGAGGGCGTTGTGTATGAGTCGGGCGACCATGAAGGTGTTGGGAGTATGGGTGGACTGAATGTGTTGTATCAGCATCAGCATGAGTGGGAAGGGACGAAAATGGTACACGGGGCCGAGCTGTAGGTAGAGGTCAGGCACGTAATACAGCAGACTCCCCTGAGCTTTGGGGCGTTCCTAGCGCTGCCTAGCTGCAATCTTGCCCCGCCGACGCATCCCCGCATTCTCGTTGTCCTTGTTCAGGTCCTCTAGTGGCAAGCACACCCCAGATCAGAGCAGGTACGCCTGGGGAGATGGCCTGACTGTCGTGACTTCAACTCTCCTCTGGCTGGAGAGGCGCCTGGGGCGGTTTGCACAACTTTTTCGCAACACAGCAAATCAGCCAACACCATGGCGGCGGGCGAAGGCATGGAAACTACAGACCGTTGTTCTGTAAGCTTACAATTGCATCTTACACTATCACCGCCGTACGCTGCTAACACTGGTCCAGAAGCCACTGGCCTGCACTCACTGCAACGCGAGGTTCTCTCGGCCCAGCCATCTGAACCGCCATCGTCTTACGCATCTACCATCGTCCCGAAAGTCATTGATCAAATGCCCACACTGTGACAGAACATTCTCCCGGAACGATGTCCTCCTCCGCCACCTGCGCGGCGCTCACCATGTCGACCTCGTCGTCAAACGGTCCGTCCAGAGATCATGCCACCGCTGTGTGTCAAAGAAGCTCAAGTGCGATCGCTTGCAGCCTTGCCAGTCATGTACAGGAGCACAGGCGATCTGCGAGTTTCCTGGTGCATCTCACTCCCGTTCGTCTGATCTCGAGTCCGAGGCACTGTATGCTCTCGATAGCAACGAGCATGCTGAAGCGACGGGCGTCGCCGGCTTTTCACCATTTGACCCGTCTTTCGAGTCCACCGACATCCCACAAACACCACAGATCCTCCAAACTCCTGACTCAACTTTGGGCAATAGCCTCTTTCCTGCGACCTACCTTGGTACCCAGCGCCATGCTGATGACCTCGATAATGACCCAGCCGTCAGCTCGGTGGAAGGATTCGGACAGGCAGACGATGCGATCTTCGGCGTCAACGCCCTGGAACCTGGTGGCGCTGGCATCTCGCCTTCCCATCTTGCGTTGATGCAGCCTGATTTTCGCATGATCGGATTCGACTGGCTGGACTTTGACATGCCAGAGTCAAACCCAGGTTTGCAGGACATTCCGATTATCGACACTACTGCCGTTGAACGCTGGTCTGGTCGCCAGACATACACCCCCCAGCCTCTCCCGCCACCAGGGAGGATGTCGTCGCAACATCCAGATAGGCCTCCAACAGTTAGACAAGGGCAAACGAGGACAGCACAGCCAAGCCCGACACTACGGCCCTTAGAGCCACAGCAGGCACTTCAGCCATGGCCCTTCGACCAAGCCCAAGATTCCGCACCACACAGATATATGTTACCCCCGTTGAGAGATGTACTACAAAGCAGTTACCGGGGCGGATCTTCCGACAGAACCAACGCACTTGATAATCTCATTCAAATCCTATCCGACAGCAAATTGCCCGCCTCAGCACATGTTCAAGACGCCAATACAGCCCAAGCCCTTAGTGACTTGCAAAGATTGCTTGATCTTTATTTTGCCCGATTCCACGATATTCAGCCAATACTTCACCGGCCTACCTGGAACACGGCAGAGTGTCCAACCGTGCTACTGACCGCGATGGCATGTGTTGGAGCTTTGTTATCCGACGAAGAGCGGGACACAGAGTTGTCCTGGTCACTCAGTGACATTTGCCTGCCTATGATTACTTGGCTGGTATGTTAGCATTTCACATGACACAGTTCCGTCCTTCACTAAAAAGCAATAGGGCGCTTCTGACGGGACCTACTATCGCAGCATCTCGTACCTCAATGCACTCTGTCTACATCAAGTTTATTCCCTAGGTTCTGGGAACCGGCAACTGTATCAAAATGCTGATCGCTCTCGAGGGATACTCATTGGAAGCCTGAGAGGGATGGGACTTCTTAGCAGTCGATGGAGTGTTGGCGAAGATGTCGGTCACGAAGCCTCTCTGGCGACCGACCCCAAGCATGCCGACCAAGAGTGGTCCGCCTGGGTAAGCCGGGAGAAGGAACGAAGGTCAGCATGGGCCTCTTTCGAGTATGACTGCAGTCTTTGCACGCTCACAAGCCGCCGGGGTGCCGTAGACCTAAGTGAACTACCCAGGTTGCTCCCTTGTACCGAGTCTTTGTGGAACGCACCTTCAGCCCAAGCTTGGGTTGCCTTACGGTCCCGTCTTGGACCTGGGAGCTTGAGCCCTACTTTGTCCACGATACTCAAAGCTGCCTTAGCTGGTCACGCCTTTCCCAGCCACCTCGGCACCTGGGCCAAGAGACTCTGCGGCCAGGTCATTGGACGTCTGCTTTGGGACTTGAAGCAACTCGAGATTGTGGCGATGCCCGAGCATTTTGGACTGACATCCTTGCTGAGTGCACACCAACAGTCAAAGCAATCACTTCTTGGTGCACTACAGAAGTTATTGGAGTCCATGGACACCGTCTCAACGACCTCGGAACTCATTAGCTACAAGTAAGGTTTGTTTGCTAACCTTCAATGACCTCAGCTGACCCGCGTTTAGTATCACGGGGCTTCTCTGCCACTACTCGCACCTCTACGCTGCAAACGACGTCATGGATGTCATACTTTACATTGTCCGCAGTCTTATATCCCAGCGTGCCAAGCATCACAAAGGCATCGAGGTTGCGCGGAAGCGACTGAGATCCTCGTTTGCTCAAGACAGAAGATCGAGTCGGAGGCTTGTTCACCATGCTGCGCAAATCATAGCAATTGCCAACGAGTATCTCGTATCGGCGCCGTGCGAGATCATGCGCACTTTCATGGGCTATGTTTTCATCCTCGCCTATTCATCCTATGGACCCCGTGCCGAGTTGATGTCTGGAGACAAAGCACCAATCCGCCTTGATGTGCCGCTTCACCAGCCAGCCCAGCAACAAATCACGCTACAATGGATTGAAGATGGTGGCCCAGCCGGCCTGGGTTCCGTCGTCAACATCCTGGCCGATGACTGTGTGCCAGCCATCAGTCGGGACGCACAGATGATGATGCAGAGGCTCAAGTGCTGGGGATTAGCAGACAAGTTCACCAAGATTTTGCACATTTTCGAGGTAAATGGTTTTTGAGTTACGGAAAAATTACTTCAATCAACGTTTTTTTGTTACGTCTGAAAGCGAAATTTTGACACGAAAGTCTTTGCTGCTCTCAAAAAATCGCAATGCAGTTTGGAGGGCTGGACACACCCCCAGGCATATTCAGCGGAGCCGCTGTCACAAAGAACTCCCACCTCTTCTCCTCTTCGCATATTCTACTCAGCTCCTCCAGGTCAAAGAGCTCTCCAACGGGCAATCCCCAGCCAGCGAGAAGGTATTCGTGGAGAAAGACCCCAGGCACCTCAGCCTCGCCCTCACCCCTTGAGTGAGATTTCTTTGGTGGATAAACCTCAAAAGAGATGGCGTCCCCCGCGACGGCCGCGAACCCTTCGTCCCAGATCCATCTCAGCATTTCCTCGGTGCCTTCTATCCCAGCATGCTGTGGGTTTGGGCTGGAGGCGTAGGCGAGCTTGTCAGAAGCAATCATTTTAGTGTCCCATTCCTGCGTCACCCCAATACGCACAAAAAGCAAGTCTCCGCGGCGAAAACTGACGCCTTGCTCCTTCGCACAGGCTTGAAGCGTATGGAGAGGGATAGCGTGGTCGGAAAAGGTGCTATACTTGATCGAATGGCGTTCAGCGTAACGGACGTAATCCAACAGAACGCCCCTTCCGCATATGCCCTCGCGTGCCCAGTGTTGCAGCCCGATTCGCGTATTATTCCGGTTCTCGATTTCTTTCGACGTCACGCCGCCATAGAAGAGCCGCCTATCAGGCTCGGTCGGTGTCGGGAACGGAGCGGAAAAGTGACGGAGCCCATCCCACTGCGACGATTGCTGGGGGTTGAAGATGTACACGTCATCGTACGCGGCGCCTCCGAGCAGGGAGACAATATGATGTTGCGTTGGTGCCCGATTGAAGTTGGCAACATCGAGTTTGTTCATGTCCCAATTCATGCCCACACGGCGACCGGTCTTGATGCAGTTGGCAGCTCTGGCCACGACATCTGGTGTCAGCAGCACAAGCCGGCCGAGCCCCTCTTCTCGCGAGCCAGGAGCACCCGTCCAGACTCGTCGCGGGTCTGGTAGAGAATCATACTTCATGTCGTGGAGGGACAGATCTATCTTGAGTGAGCCCATGGTTGATACGTGAAATCCGGGATGGTGGACGTCGGGAGTGCATGAAGTCAAGAAAAGAGAAGGCAGATTGACCGTCGTCCTCTCCTGACGGTTTGCTCCAGCTCCAAGTACTCCATGGCGGCGCATGTGCGGGATTCCAGCAGCTTCATGTTGCTTTAGTTTCGATCCAGCCTGTCGTCGGGAGCTTCGCCATGAACTGAGCTTCCGTGTTGGCGGCGGCACGCTCCGAGCAACCTCGTCACACGGCGATGCGCCCGGTCACATGAACCCGTCCCCAGCCTTCAATCACGCTATTGATCACTAGAGGGTACCACTGGTCTTCGATTAATCGATTCTGATTTTGTGACATGGAGAATTGAAATGCCCATGCGTGGCATTGATACCGATGCGGATTAATGCCACTCAGGAGGAGAGCGCCGGACGTGGCGGCGGGGCAGCCGTCCCATATCACACCACCACGCCTCAGAGGTCGAATAGCAGTCACACAAATCGCATGGCAAGCAACGGCCCAGTGGTACGTCCGTGGAGACAGCCCAAGATCCGGGGCCCCAGAAGCCGGTAGTTCAGCATCGTGGGGACCCCGCAAGCCACCTCCTGGACGTGCCTATGGTGTTGACCATATACATTTACTCGGGCACTTCCTCGTATAACTCAATGAAGAGGTCACAGGGATAGAGAAGCATAATTTCACCAGAGCTCAAAATTACACTCATCAACAATCATGGGGGCATCTCGGTCAAAGTCTAAGCGCACCACAACGTACAACCGACTGGTCACGGTTGCAGTTGCATTTGGATCCCTTGTGAGATCTTGTCCTAGACATGGGAGTACTTTGGTTGTATCATACAGAAACTAACTATTCTCCAGACCTACGGTTATTGTTCTTCGGTGATAGGAAGCACTATTGGACAACCTGGCTGGTACGAGTTCTTCGATCTTCCGCTGCAGGGCGAGCCTGGATATGCAACCAAAACCACCGACGCCATCGCGACAGCGAATGGCATCTACAGCGCTGGCGGAGCCATAGGCACACTCTTCATCATGTGGGCCGCTACAGCTCTCGGTCGAAAGAGATGTATCCAGATTGGTGGGGCTTTCTCACTTCTCGGCGGCGCTTTACAAGGTGGTGCAGCGAATCTCGGGTGAGTTTTCGCCGCTGGTGTGGTTGTGTTCGTCTTCAATCTGACATTGCCAGCATGTTCCAAGCCGGCCGTATACTCGCCGGCATCGGCATCGGCATCCTCGTCACCGTTTGTCCGATGTACATGGGAGAACTCTCGCCACCCGAGAAGCGAGGGTGGCTCGTCGGCCACCATCCCATCTTCCTTGTCTTTGGGTACATGCTGTCGGGCTGGCTCGGATATGCATGTTACTTTGCAACCGCCCGGAACCCCGAGTTTGCGTGGCGGTTCCCGCTGTGTATGCAATGCTTTGCCCCTCTCATCTTGCTGACCGCGTCTTTCTGGATTCCCGAGTCGCCGCGCTGGTTACTTCAGAAGGGCAAGATCGAAGAGGCGTGGAGTGTGGTACAGAACCTCCGCAAGTCTGACGACGACCCCCACGACATTGTCGCCCGGGAGGAGATTTATCAAGTACGCGAGCAGATCGTGTTGGACGCGGCTAAGCTCAAGGCCATCGGCTGCACGCCGTGGACAGCTGTGATCAAGAAGAAGAGCTATCGGAAGCGCATGGCCATTGGCTTTCTGACACAATGGGGTGCAGAGTTTGCTGGACCGCTCATCATTGTGAGCCGAGTACCAGTGTCTTCTTTAGGTTAACATGACTGACATGCCATAGAATAACTATTCAGTCATCCTGTACACCAACCTGGGCCAGACGGGATCCATGCCGCTGCTTCTCTCGGCGCTATGGCTCACCACCGCCGGTGTCATCTACAACCCTCTCGGCGCATGGCTCCATGATAAGGTCAACTCGCGTCGCTGGATGTTTATCGTCGGTCTCTTTGGGTGCCTCATTACGACCAGCGGTTTCGCCGCGTGCATTGCAGAGTTCAGCGGCACGTCGAACCAAGCCGGCAACGCAGCCGGCGTCTTCTTTGTGTTTCTCTATCTTGCGTTTCAAGGGTAAGTTGCAACTCGGCCCTCGCTCTGGAAACGAAGCTGACGGCGAGTTCGTCTTCTCAGCACACTTTGTGACACGACCATGTACCTCTACGTCGCCGAGATCTTCCCCACGGAGATCCGGCCCATCGGCATGGGCTTCTCGCTTTTCGGTCAATTCACGAGCACCATTATCCTGCTCCAGACGGCACCAATCGGTATTGTCAATGTCGGGTGGAAATATTACCTTGTCATCATTGTCTGGTGCATCTTTTTCATCCCCGTAGTGTACCTTTTCTTCCCAGAGACGGCTAAACTCTCGCTGGAGGAGATCTCGGCCCGTTTCGGCGACGACGTGGCCGTTCGGATCACCGATGTTTCGGATGACCAGCGGAAGGAGCTGGACGACTTCCTCAAGACGACCGATGTCGTCCACATGGAGACGCACGCGGATGAAAAGAAGGCGAGAGTGGGCAATGAGGACATTACAACCGTGGCCTAGGTGGGCGTGTAGTGTATTGCAAGGGGGGGGGATGACGAAATTCTTGGGATGCAATCGTATCTACATCACACACATGGTGTAAGAGTTCAAGCCAGATTTCCAGGCTGCGGGAAGAAGACAGAGTTGGCTGATTACTTTGATGTCGTTCCTCTCGGGAAGATGTGCGATAGTGTCCGGGACGGGTATCAAGTCACCTCGTTTTCAATACGTCTCAAAGTATCTTTGCAGAATTCAAATGCACATGCCGGCCTACTTGCAAACATGATACATGAATCTATTATGGTTTGCACTTTAGTTACGAGATCGGTCACCTTCACACTCGCAGCGCCTCGACACGACGTCAACTTTGACCAGAAAACCAAAAGCTGCTATGAACTCGCACCAAGCCACAAGCAATCTTAAAAAGAAACTTAACGTTGACGACTATAAACACTTAACAACACCATGCTCCAATACCCGGTCAGAGTCCTAATGAGAAGCACCTGGCGTGCGTAGTCATCGAGCTATCAGTGCCAGTCCTCGTTGGCAGACGGGCTTGCGCGCTCCATGACAGTGATGCTTGGGGCCGCAAGCCAGCCAACAAGAAGAAGCACTCAAGAGCAACCAGTTCCCTCCCGGAGCGTGCCACTCACCCGGTGTCATACCCCGCTCGTTGGTGGGAAGCACCAGTGGGTTAGCAGGCGCCCTGGTGGAGCTACCCCAACTTGCCGAGCTGCGGTGCGGGGCGACGTGAAGCTCATGATCAGACTGAGACGAGGTCGGACGTCGCAAACTACCAAGGCAGGTAGGAGTGGTAAGAAATACCTAATGAGGAAAGCAGACTATTGACTGCCCGATCATCGCAACGTTCATCGGTGTTCTGCACCAACAATTTTTTTTTTTTTTGGAACATCAACAGTTTCTTTATCAGTCTCCTATCGCCTCATTGCCCAGCATCCGCGTCTCTCTTGCATCCTAATACCCCGCCATCGCTAATTAACTATGGCGACCTCGTACAACACAACGGCTCATGGCGAGCTTCCCTTTACGCTTGCCGATAAGAACCTCCTGCAGTTTAGTTCCTACGTTCATGGCGAGTTCGTTGCCGCAAAGAAAGGCAAGACCTTTGATGTCCTCGATCCAGGCAACGGCAACGCCTGGGCCTCGTGCCCCGACAACGACGAAGACGACGTCGAGCCCGCAGTTCAATCCAGCTACGCTGCGTTCCAGTCCTACTCCAAGTACACGCCGCGACAGCGAGCGCAACTCCTGCTCGCCTGGCACCAGCTCATCGTCGCGGCGCGCGAGGACCTGGCGCGCATTGTCGTGCACGAGACGGGCAAGCCCATGGCCGAAGCCCTCGGCGAGATTGACTACGCGACGACCTTTTCCTGGTGGTTCGTCGGCGAGGCCGACCGCGCCCACGGCTCGGCCCTGACGTCCGCCATCCCCGGCCGGCGCGCTGTCGTCGTCAAGCAGCCCATCGGCGTCGCCGCCGCCCTGGTCCCCTGGAACTTCCCCGTCGCCCTCGCCCTGCGCAAGGCCGCCGCCGCCCTCGCCGCCGGCTGCACCATGGTCGTCAAGACGTCGCCCGAGACGCCCCTGTCGGCCGTCAGCCTGGCCTACCTCGCCACGAGGGCCGGCTTCCCGCCGGGCGCCCTCAACGTGCTGACGACGAGCCTCGAGAACACGCCGGCCGTGGCTGAGGCGCTGTGCCTGCACCCGCGCGTCAAAAAGGTCAGCTTCACGGGGAGCACCCACGTCGGCAAGCTGATCGCGGGGCTGTGCGCGCGGAACCTGAAGAAGACGACGCTGGAGCTCGGCGGAAACTGCCCCTTTGTCGTCTTTGACGATGCGCATGTCGAGCAGGCGCTGGGTCAGCTGATGGCGTTGAAGTGGCGGCACGCCGGTCAGGCCTGCGTCACGTCCAATCGCGTCTACGTGCAGAGCGGCATCTACGACGTCTTTGTGGCCAAGCTCGTCGAGCAGACCAAAGCTCTCAAGGTCGGCCACGGTATGGGCGATGGTGTCACCATGGGCGCGCTCACGACACCCCGCGGTCTCGACAAGGCCGAGGAGCTGTATCGGGACGCCGTTGCCAAGGGAGCCAAGACTGTCTTGGGGACGGGACAGCGGATGGACAGCAGCGGCTACTTCATGGCACCGACGGTCCTCACCGACATGACTGACGACATGGCCATGAGCCATGAGGAAATTTTTGCACCAATCTTGGGCGTGTACCGATTCGAGAGCGAGGACGAGGTGACACAGAGGGCCAATCACACACCCCTCGGTCTGGCCAGCTATGTCTTCTCGAAGAATGTCGACAGGCTGTGGAGGATGTTCGAAAATCTGGAGGCGGGCATGATCGGATTGGTGAGTCCCTTATGCTATGTTTGAGTACTAGACTGTGACCGCGGACCAACTGACGCCATTTTATCTTCACAGAACACAGGCAACAGCTCAGCTGCCGAGGCGCCGTTCGGAGGCATCAAGGATAGCGGCTACGGGAAGGAGAGTGGCAAGGATGTGGCCATCAATGAATTCCTCATCACGAAAACAGGAACAATGGCGATCGATGGACACTATTAAAAATGCTGCATACTTGGAATTTCTACTGTACGAGCGGTTTTCGAACCAAAATACCCTGTCAGTGCGTTTCGGATTGTATCATTCTGCGAGGAATTCCACCACTGCGGCGTGCAAGTCTTCCTGGGTTTCCAGTAACTGGATCTGGAACCGAGCACAGACGGCCTGGACGTTACCCTTGTTCTCATACCTCTTGCTGTCGCTCTCGAGACATGCAGCAATTACCTTGCCGGAGCGAGCCGCCAGCCCAAACTCTAGAAGGCTGATCGGCGCGGCGGTGCTGTGGTGGAAAAGCACGACCACCAGATCGGCCGCCTCCTGCATATCCAATTCCCAAGTGACTTGTTCGCTGAAGCGGCTGTCGGACATATCATTGCCCCAGTTCCAGTCCAGTCGGAGGGGGTTAAATATGGTAACGGGATGGTGCTCGATGGCTTTGCACAAGGTGGCGCGCCAATCACCCGCGTCCTTGTGGGTTGTGCCGGCGAGGAAGATTGATTTGTTGGTACCCGTCGATGCTGGACGATCAGGTGCTTGAACAACAGTAGCTTTGGTCAGAGTGGTAGCCATTGCGTCGCACTTCTTTGTGTTCGGACTCGACGCTGGATGAACTTTCGGGTATGTGTTTTCAACGTGACAACGTGACTATAAAGAGACGGCGCATGTAGCCTCACACAGAAGCCATTCGGTGGCTTCACACAACCGTGTGCAAGCTTATGTGTGGGCAGTGTCGCCTTGGACACGTCGCCGCAGCCTGGTGCGTGAACTGTCACGTGCGTGGTGATGCAGCCTCGGAAGCATGGTGCAGTGTTTAGCAATCTGTGAGCGTTTTTTATTTTCTCAAGTTGATGCCCGTTGTGAAGTCCTGGCAGGCAAACTTCAGGGCATGAATGGGTGCTTCGATATCGCTATGGAGTCCCCAACGCTCGGTCAGCGGAGAATTTCGTCTGACCGGCTCATCTAAGATCACAAAGTGTGTCAACGTACACCAGTCAGTTCTAAAAAAGCTCATGGAAGACGCGGATCTGCGCAACGCGTACTTGGGCCTCTTGAACCTATGCTCCAATGATTTCTCCGTGTCCCGTCATCGTTCATGGCAGCGGGACCGGTTTCTCCCTCACTCACGTAGGTGGATGCAGTTGACTCAGACAGGGGCCGCGGATGCGATACGGCAGACACATGTGAGCAGCTGTGAGACATGCAGCCCGACGGAGTGTCGCCGCCCATGTTGCTGTGAGTCAATCTTGTTTGTGTACCACGGTTGGACATGGTGGAAGCCAGCCACAGCCACCATAGATGCAGGTAGCCGGGTCAGGAGAACGCAGGGCGGGCGGCAAGATCACACACAGTGGGAGGTCGCAAGCGAGCTGGATACATTGGCCTCTTTGGTGGCAGATAGGAGAGGATCTGCTGCATTGACCGACTCGTCCCCTCTCCTCGTGGCTATCTTTCGGAAGCTGACTAGGGGCTGGGGTGTGGTGTGGTGTAAGTGGATTAGGGAAGGGAAGAGGGGGCTCAGCGAGGAGCATGTTGCGGTGTGAAGTCACGCAACGGGACGTCGTTGGACGAAGTGCAGCTCGCCAGCATGCTCCGCCTGTCGACACTTGTCTCAAGGGGAGGGCCCGGAAGAGCGGGTGGCCAGCCAAACAGCCAGAAGTGCCAGGGGGACACGGGTGCGAAGACGCAATGACGAGGGCGCAGATTGGCTGTCGATAGTCGCCCAGGTCGATGGAGTGTGGATAGGAGAAGCAAGGTCGGAAGACGTGGAGCGTGACCCGGTTCGGCAGCGGTCAAACAAAAAGGAGGCATGCCTGTGCCAGACCGAGAGGCCTGTCGCTGGTGTTCGCTGGCTGTTGTCTGTTTTTATTGTTGCTGTCGCTGTCGCCATTGCCAGACTCCAGGGCTGCTTGCTTGTATTTGACCCCTTTTTGAGACTGATCGAACCGTGATCCGTGCCATCCCTTATCTCAGCTGATGCCATTGCGTGGAATGTCGCGTCATGGGCAGGCCAGATATAAAGATGGTTGAGGTAGGCTACCTCTATTTCCCCCCCCACTGGGAGCGAAGAAAGACGCTATAGCTGGTAGCGGGCAAAGCGACCGACGAGAAGAAGGGCCGGACCGCCGACATAGCAGATTGACTGACGAGGACAGGGCACCGAGTTGGGCATGTCGCCCGTCGATATCGCGAAGACCAAGCCGGCGGACTCGGTTATCGACCCTCTGGTCGGATCGAGGGCTAGCATTGGCGGCAGCAGCATAATCAGCAGTAGCGGCGGCGGTAGCAACCACGGCAGCAGTGACGAGAATTGCCAGGGTTGCAGGAAAATTGAAATGGAGGAGAAGCAAAAAGAACAGGCAAGACGACTATCGGAGGATGAAGGCGTCGGGCTGGATCTTGACGACGCCAGTTTAAAGTCCGGTAAGATGGTTTCGTCTCATTGTCAGGTCCTTCCCTCCCTCCCTTCCTTCGCTCCTCACTCTTACTCAACCTCGATTTCGGTGTATGGCGGGACCAAGTGGTAGCCGCCGTGGGAACAGCCCTGGGAAACAGCCTTGAAAGGTGGTCCTTCCAGCGTGTTGGCGCGCTGCTGCAGGGCTGTCGTCGCCGAAACCTGGGGCACAGCAGGCGCGATCCACTTCCCCAGGAAGCCGCTACCAACCTTACGTGCCCGACCTCGCCTCCCCTTTGGTAGTAGCTTCCTCATCTCAGGTTGGGAGGTGGTGGTGACCTGCGATTTCGGGCTGGGCAAGTGCTGGGCAAGTGCAAATGCCCCGAAAGAGAGGCTGCCCACGCGATACCCTCAATTTCGTTGCACCGTACCCTACCTAGGCACCTTAACATACCTATACAACGAGCGCCGTCGTTGCACGAAAGTTGTTCTCTTGCTTCACTCCTCCAAGTCCTCAAACGGCCATTCTGTCTAACCATTTCCCTCTCCCCCGTCCCCTGTCTTCCCAGGGAGTCATACCATCACCACCACCACCTATGCCCCTCAAGTGGATCCAGGACCCCCATTCCGTCATTCCAGCTCCGACTCTATCAATACCCACATCGCGTTCCTCGCCGTCGGCCAGTCGTCTCCTGCACCATTCGAGTCACAGTCCTAGTTTCAGATCATCTCCCCAGATAGACAGCAACAGAGAAGTTGCGAATTCGTTGTGCTGACAAGAGACCGCTCTCTCTCGCCGCAGCGCCCGACATGCCATCTGCACTTGTTGCTTCCGATCTGTCTACCAGCTTCGGCACCGACCCAGACGACTGCCCTCAGCTGGCGCCCGATCTCCTCCACAATCTGCGACACGATAGCTCCGTGCTCTGCCTCGCTGTCTGCGAACGAACCGAGTCTATATACGCCGGCACTCAGGATGGCGAGATTGTCGTCTGGTCTCTTGCCACCTTTCAGCAGGTCCACAAGATTCAAGCACACAAGCGCAGCGTCCTTTCCCTCTTCCTCTCCGACGATGGTTCCATGCTCTTCTCCAGCGCCGGCGACCCCATCATCAACGCCTGGTGCCCCGCCTCCCTGAAGCGCCTGTACGAGATCTACAGCACCTACGATGTTGGCGACATCTTCTCCGTCGCCTACAGCACACAGAATGAGACCCTCTACATCGGCGCACAGAATACCTCCATCCAATGGGTCAACCTCAAGGACCCCAGGAACCGCGCCATGCACGAGTCTGCCACCCACCCGGATCGCAGGAATCACCGCTTCTTCGACTCGCGAGCAGTCGGTGGCACCTCGACACCCCGTCGCAACGATGACCGCTGGACGCTGATACCCAAATCGGAAAAAGTCGTCGAGGTTCCCTCCGGCGCTGTTCACATGTTCGCCCACTACGGCTACGTATACTGCATGCTCCTTGTCAAAGGACCTACCATGTTGGTAGATGCCGACGAGGAGGTCCTCATATCAGGCGGAGGCGATGGCACAATCAAGGTGTGGAAGATTGGTACCGGAGACGGAAGTGACACGGAAGATCCCGACGACGGCGAGGCTGGTCTCGAAGAGATTATGGTCCTCGGCACGGACGAGGGCGAGTCTGTCATGTCCCTTGCCATTGACGGCTCCTTCCTGTACGCCGGCAAGCTGCAAGGCATCATTGAGCTGTGGGATCTCGACACCAAGTCCAAGTTGCGTGTCATCAAGAGTCATAGAGGCGACGTCATGTCCCTGCACATGAACTGGGGGTACCTGTGGAGCGCCTCTGTGACGGGCACTGCCAGTGTAAGTGCTCTCGCATGATCCTTCACAATTCTCATTTCCCAGCAGCTGACAAACTCGCAGAAACACAGTACCGTTCACTATGGCGAGTTTCAGGAGTCGCAGGTCGAGAACGTCAGCCAAAAGTACCAGTGCCTCGCACGCTGGAAAGCACACGAGGGCAAGATTCTCGCCTCGGCCGCCACGACCTACAACGGCAAGCAGTACTATATCACGGGTGCCAACGATAATGATGTCGCCATTTGGAGGATCGATAAGAAGTGCGCCACCGACATTCCGTCGGCGGAAGAGTCGGAGGATGTCATGCTGTCAGCGTTGCAAGAATTCGTCTCGTACAAGACCATTTCCTCGCGTCCCGAGTTTGCCGAGGACTGCCACCGCGGCGCCACATTCCTTGGCTCGCTGTTCAAGCGCCTTGGTGGTCAGGTCGACATGTTGAGCTGCGACAGCAACCCCCATAACCCTGTCGTGCTTGCGCAGTTCAACGGCACACAAGAATCGTCCAAGAAGAAGCGCATCTTGTTCTACGGACACTACGATGTCGTCACTGCTGATGCGAAAAAGAGTAAGTGGAATACCGATCCCTTCCAGATGAAGGGCATCAATGGTTACCTCTACGGCCGAGGTGTCAGCGATAACAAGGGCCCCATCATTGCGGCGCTCTACGCAGTGACAGACCTACTGCAGGCAAAGAAGCTGGAGAACGATGTCGTCTTTCTCATCGAAGGCGAGGAGGAGTCCGCATCCAGAGGGTTCAAGGAGACGGTCCGCGAAT